CCTGGCGCATATGAGGGCTCGAGCTAGCATTGGCCGCCATCGCCATTGGCACATTGGATCTTCGCGGATGAGCTTGTTGTGAAGTGCCTATCTGCTGTATCTGTACATTCTGCCCCCACATGTACATGATACCTTCGCAAAGCATCTCGGCAGAACGGGCGGACTTATTCGGCAAACGGGTTCACTACTTCATGAGGAAGTCACGCTGCCAGGACCAACCAAGGACCCCCATGCATGATATCTACGGCCATGTCACAAACAACGCTCTCGCGAGGGGTGCCGCAATTCCTGCGACGGGGGGGACTTGCCTCGGGGGCCAGCAGCCGCCAACTGTCTGTTGATTACCTTAGTGTCAGGAACGACGCCCCCCCCAACGCTCGCTCTCAAGGCTCTACCGGCTCCTTGGCAGGCGCCTATCTCGGCGTACCTGCCGCTACAGCAACAGTGGCCGACTGCGACTGCTGCACGGCATCGTCATCGTCATCGTCGTCCAACAGGGCCAGAACCCACCAGCCACCACCACCAACACCATCACCACCATGCTTCCCTACCAAGGACCTCGCGAGCAGCCTCTGTTGCACTGGCACTCCTCGTGGCTTCTCCGCCCCATGTTCTGACGCCTGTCCCCTAGGCTTCCCGTCCAAGACGACACGCTAACAAAGGCGGGCCTACTAGTCAGGTCGAGCTCTTCGGCTCAATCGACGTTCTGGCCCGCCAACCTCACCACCGGTCCTCGAACGCCTGGCTGGTCTCGACTGCTGCTGCGTTGCGTCCAAACCTGACTTCATTCCAGCCGCCTCCTATGCAGACCGCATCACGATCTCGCCCTACATGCACGTTCGTGGTGCGAAGAGGCCAACCGAGCGGCGCAGCAGACGCAAAGAAAGTAAAGATGCGCAAAGTATCCCCGCCTGTGCAGGATCCTTCGCCCCCAAGAGAGCAGAAAACCAACTGGTGATGCTGCTTCCCATCCCCACCCTACCCCTGCGGCAACCCGTTCGAAGCGCAGTTCGTTGCCCCTCGTACGACGATTTCGGTGTCGGTGCAGGATACGTACCCAAGCGATCGACAACCGTCGCGAGCAGCGCTGCCGGCTGCGGGCTGTGAACCCGGATTCTTGCCCTGGTCGAGGAGGACGGCAGGAGGGGTTGCCCAACAACAACGTACGAGTATAAGCACCTCTGAAATCATCGTCATAGCCCATGAAATAGCTGCCCGTAACTCAAACGACGCCCCTCCCGAGCTCTCGTCGCTTCCCCTCTCTCTCGTCTGGATCGCTTTTCCAAGCGCTGTGTAGCCATTTCAATCTTGCGCGTTTCTCCTGCTGAAAGCTCTTGGACACCATTGGCAATGGGGCTCAAATCAGTCGCTCGCCCGCTGCTTCTCGTCTTTCTTTTACTCCTTGCGACCACGGCATTGGCGCAAAACGACGACGACGACGACTCGAGCAGCCAGGCCAATAATATCACCTGCTACGGCGTCGGCGGGAAGTCCTACGGCGACAACTACAAATGTCCTGGCTCAAACGCCTGCTGCGGCTCCGTCGACCTGTGCCTGCCCAACAGGTTGTGTAAGAGCGTCGGCCTGTCAGACGATATTTTCATCCGCGGACCCTGCTCGATCAACCCGTATGACGAAGAAGAGTGCGCGCAGATCTGCCTGTACAGTAGGTTTCTTCAGGCCCGGGGTTCTTGGAAGAGGGGTCGCATCAATCGGAGGCTAATTTCTTTTCCTCTTACAGGTGAAAACACAGGCAACGGTCGCTTTCCTCAAGTCACAATCTGCAAAGACGGTAGTTACTGCTGTAACAATGATCCTCAGTGCTGCGCACGCGGACGCGGCACCTTCCTCGACGCACGAGGAAAGGTCATTGACAACCCTACCGCGAGCTCATCGTTGTCTGCCTCATCGTTGGCCACGAGCAGCGCATCACTTTCGTCCGCAACGCGGCCGCGGCTTCGACGACGGCGAGCGAACCACCTCCCAGTGGAACATCTGCCGATTCAGGCTCCAGCTCTAGCTCCGGCAACGGTAACGGTCTAGGCTTAAAGGTCGGGCTCGGGCTCGGGATCCCGCTCGCGCCCATCGTTGCCGCCCTCGGCGTTTGGTTTTTGTACGCAGGAGGAAGCGGGCTGTCGAGCCCGTCGAGGTCAGCGAGCCGGTCAGTATCACGCCAAGGGAAGCAGCCCGCCGCAGAGCACTTTTGTGGACTCGCAGACGCCGACGCCGCGGGGCAGCCCGCTCAGCGCACAGTATCAGGTCTCAGAGATGGATGCGAAGCCGAAAACAGTGCACGAGCTCGAGGGCACGTCGACGCGTGATCGGGCACGCCCGAGCTGCACTGAGGTGTTTTGGGGGTGGTGGGAGGGGGGCTTCTTTCCTTAAGATACCAGCTGTTCCAAGCACGATGAAGCCGATTTGCTGCATCTGAAGTTTTTCTGTTTCCTGACTAGTCAAGCCTCGTGCCTGGATGCCCGACGATAGACGTGCATGTCGGTAAACTTTCTCGATAAAACAAAACTCCAATGGATGAATGTCGTCGCGACCAAGAAAACGCCGCCTCGACCCTACCCACGGCAGTGCAGCGACGATGCGCGTCTGAGAATACAACACGTCACCCCAAGATCCTCGCTTTGCCTCCGCTTCCTGACACCGCAATATACAAAAGCCTAGCGTCGCCGCAGGCATAAACGGTCAATGGCATCAAAATGCCCGGGTACAGATGCTTAAGAGATACGCTTCAGAGCGCATATAGACCGTACCGCACACCCTCATGGCTTGGTCATAGCAAGCCGCCTAAGGCGTGACCTGGCCAATGAGAAAGGGCGTGCTGGACGAGTAGGGTAAAAGCAAGCTGGGCAGACGATAAAAATAAGAAAGCGAGCTGTGAAGCTAAGCACCCCCCCTCTACACGAGGCGTCGATCGGGGGCTGGCTGGCCGGCTAGCTGTGGGTACAAGTGTTGCTTTCACTTTGGGGGACATGTGCCCTTACGACGGCAGAGAGCAACGCCAGAGTCTTGTGCGCAAGACGCGTTGGTGTTATCAAGACGGGGGAGAGGATCATCACATCCTGTCAACATGACGAAAGTTCTCGAACATCAACGCGAACACTCCCTTTCAGGCATCCACAGATAGACTCTACTAGTCAAACGTCGTTCTGCCAATCTTCAAAACACCTCAAGCGACATCCATGCAGTCTATTAGTCTACGTAACCAAGAGACGCCGTCACACCCAGCCCAAACACTGGTCTATCAAGACCCCACGCGGTGCTTCCCACCCGTCGCCTTGCCCAAAATCTCATCGACCTCGACGCGGTGCTTGGAAAAGTTGTCCACTAAGTCATCCCACATCTTAGGATCGTGCTCGTGGAGGTTCGTGCTCTTCCACGCATAGTCCGTAATCGTGAGGGCGCGGCAGCTTTCAAACATGAAGGCGACGGCGCCCTCGGAAATGCGCATGACGGGCGGGTCCTCGCGCGACGCGGCGGCAAACTGCTCGTAGGCCACGCCGTGGGGCACGAAGCCGCACTCGAACGAGACGCTGCCGGGGCGGAAGGCGTCGGAGCGGCCTTCGTAGGCGCCGTAGAGGAGCCCCATGAGCTCTGAGGCGGCATTGCGGTGGTAGTAGGGCGGGCGGTAGGTGTGCGAGGCGACGTCCCAGCGAGGCGAGAAGATGAGAAAGTCGGCGAGTGGCGCGGCTGGATCGCGCGACTTCGCCGTCAGCACATAGAAGACGGACGGGTCGATGTGGTCGACTGAGATGGAGCCGACGTTGACGAACTTGGTGAGGTCGTATTTGTACGGCACGTAGTTCCCGTGCCAGGCGATGACGTCAAAGGGGCAGTGGCGCTGTGCGCTCTGGAAGAACCGACCGCCCAGCTTGTAGACGATGTTCCACGGGTCGTCGTCCGTCACCTCATACGCGGCGACGGGGTGGAGAAAGTCGCGAGCGTTGGCGAGCCCGTTTGCGCCGAGGGGCCCCAGCTCAGGCAGCTCAAAGTTGGAGCCCCAGATCTCGAGGATGTAGCCCCGCGTAGGTCCCTCGACGTTCACCTTGAAGCGCTGGCCGCGCTGGATGACGCAGATTTCACCGGGCTGAACGTAGAGGAAGCCAAACTCGGTCTGGATATCGAGCGCGCCTTGCTGCGGAACGATGAGAAAGTCGCCGTCCGAGTTGGCAAACGCCCTCTTCTTCATGCCTGTGTTGCAGAGATAGACGTGGGTCGCCAGGCCCTCACGCAGCGTGGGATCGCCGGACCCCGCAAGTGTCTTGAGGCCGTCGATAAAGTCCACATCTTGATCGGTTGGGATGTCAAAGGGGCTCCACGCCAGCTGAGTGGGTGAAACATGTACGCGGGGGTTGATGGGAAGAAAGTTTGACTCGACGTCATCTCGGTTGGGAAGATCCGTCTGCGAGGGGCCACAACCATGTTACTCGCGGCTCAGGAAATTCAAGTTCAACATTGGCACAGGAGCACAACTCACGAATCCTTGGTGGGCGACAGCAGGACGCGAGCGATAGAGCCACGCCTTCTTGTTGGCATGGCGTGGGGCGACGAAGGCAGACGCAGTCATCTGCTCCGCGTAAAGTCCAAAGCGGATGGACCTTGGACTGTTCTGGCCCTTGGGGACCACACCAGGCACCGCTTCTGACTCGAAGCTGTTGTTGAAGCCAGACATGTATTTGTACGGGTCGTTGCGTCGGGTCTCGAAGCTAGGGATGGAACCATTCTTCTGGGTCTCTGCCCAGTGAAAGATGTTCTGGTAGTCCTCTGTGGAAGCCATGATGCGTGCTTGTGGCAATGACGTGGATGGTGCTGAGCGACGAGGTGCACGGTGAACGGGTTTTGCTGAAAGCCGGCAACCTGATACTCGTATGTTGTGGGAGACCAAGAGAGAACCTGGGCAAGAAGGAGGTCACGCTGGATCATCTGGACAGTGTACAGCAAAAGCTCAGTCAGGACTATATATCTGGATAGTCTGAGAGCGGTTCCCCATCTTGTTCGCGGGCCTCGGATGACACGGTCGCGGAGATGGCGAGGAGACGTGGGGGCTTGGGAGAGAGAACTCGGCGTCGATGGGGGGGCGCATGAACAGAGAGGACCGCCGATCACGACCAGAATACCACGTCAACTCGAGGAGGGCAGCCATGGCTCGGTGTTCGGGCCTACTAGCGTACTGCCTAGCAATCGATCTCATCGCCTCGGATGGCGGAGCGCGCAGCCACGTAGTATCGTGAGGTCATGTTCGGCGGTGCACAGTGAGCTCCGAGCGTGTCCAACATTCGGCAGTTGGCTGCAAAACGGACGGCGCAGAGCACCCAGCGACTCGGTAGATGATTTCGGGGGTGCCTGAAACGTAGGTGGGCGGGCAGATATCCAATGTGCCCTGGCCAGCTTATCAGATGGTCCATCGATCGCGAGTCGTCCAGAAGGTTCATGGAGTATTCTCGGCAAGGTGGCCGACAACGTGCCGTCGACCAGTCCCATGGGAACCGATCGCATCATGTCGGAATCACGGGCACGTTAGCCGCTGCGAAGAAGAATCCCAATCCCAACAATCAAATGGGACAAACTCAAAACAGCGTTCGCCAGGGGACAATGACTCGCGTCCGCTCCCCAGTCGAGATGCTCTCACGACAGTATCAGTCGCTTGGCCGAGAGGGTGACGCGGCGAGGACGAGATGCGGCATGGTCCAGTTTGTGGGGCCTGAATATATACATTCGTAGCTGCCTGCCTACCTCAATAGGTACCTACTTGACCCAAGATAGGTAGGCGCCGTAGGCTGTAACGCCTGTTTGCTGCTTGGATCAGGCCTGCTCGCTGTCTCTCACCGCTGTTGTGTCCTCGCATTTTGTCAGGTACTGTCCCTCCGCCATAAGCACCAAAACAGTTGAGCTCGAGAGCAGACACATGGCAGGGAGGAGTAACGTAGGCCAGAAATCGGGCAACAACGGTGACGCCAGAGTATCTATCTACCTGAGACTGAGAGGTAAGGTAGTTGATGCTCAGTCAGGCAGGCGCCCGCCTCACTGCTACCCACGAGCTGTGGGCTGTCATCTGTCAGCTACCTCAGGTGTCTGGGCAGGAAGGTGTGAGTGAGCTGTGAAGCTAGGACCATCTCAAGCACCACCCACTTACCACTACCTGACTTGCTGTCGGCGCTAGGCACGGCGCCGAGCCAATGAGATAGCTAGCATTTCTAATTTCGAGGCAGGCTCTATCTTATCGCGACGCGATGAACCGGCAATGGCGTCACTCAAGTTTCCGCGCCTGCAGATGTTTGACGGGTCATGGACATCATCAACTCTGAGGGGAGGTGGAGATGGGGCAGGTAGCAGCACCCAGGGTGCCAGGGA